GGGGAATTCTCTCATCTAGTACAGTGGTTGGCGAGTAGGCGGTCGGCACGGATTATGTAGCTCGGTGTCCGCAACATCTCTCCCCCCGGCGCAGCTTTGCGTAGCCTCCTCTTCCTTTAGTAGGACGACGAGCTTCGATGTTGGCCTTTTGAAGACGCCGGTCTTCGTTCTGACATCGGCGACTCGTACGCTGCCGTCAGGCCCAGGGTACGTACGTTCTACCCTTCCCATTGGCCATACGTTCCTCGGTAGCGTGCTGTCGACGACAACCACTATGTCGCCGGCTTGTAGTTTTGACGTGTCATTCTTTCTAGCTGGTTCTCCTCGCGGTACTAGGGTCGGCAAGTACTCCCGTACCCAGCGTCTCCAGAATTGGTCTGCGAGTGCTTGGCTAGTACGCCAGGTTCGTCTGTCGGCTTCGTCACAGGGTCCTGTTCTCGGTAGACCCGTTGAAGATCCCAGCAAAAAATGGTTCGGCGTGAGGGCCTCGGGGTCGCGAGGGTCCACACTCACGTGCGTTAGGGGCCGAGCATTGATCGAATACTCGGCTTCGGTCAGGAGGGTTCTTAGCACTTCGTCTGATGGTGCCTTTTCTCGAAGCGTTGCTTGTAGCGCTGTCTTGACAGAGCGCACCATGCGTTCCCATGCGCCTCCTTGGTTCGGGGCGCCAGGTGCTATGTAGCGCCATTCCATACGCCGGGTCAGTCCTTCGTCTCTTAGGGCGGGTGCCCATTCGGCGTATGCGGCTTTCAGTTCTTGATCGGCGCCGCGGAAGTTGGTTGCGTTGTCTGAGTACATCAGTCGCGGCCATCCGCGGCGTGCTGCCATTCGTCTCAACGCCATTAGTGCCGAATCCGTAGAGAGAGAAGCGACAAGCTCGAGGTGAACGGCTCGTGTGGTGAGGCAGGTAAATAGTGCGCCCCACCTTTCTCTCGGCGGCGTCCCACTTTTACAGTAATGGGCCCGAAGGAAGCCTACCCCGCAGTTCGTGAAGGGGCGGTGGAATGGATCGAGGCGGGCGCGTGGCAGGTCTCCTGTGGCTGGTGCTCTGGGCCTAGACCTTGTGACCCGGCAGAGGGCGCAGCTATACTCGACGGCGCGTACGGTGGGTCGTAGCCGTATGATCCAGTATCGCTGTCGTAGGTCGTTCGTTACTCGCTCTCTGTTAGCGTGTCCTGCTGCGGCGTGTTCTCGCAATACGATGAGTCGCGTGATGGGGTGACGACCGTCTAGGATGATAGGTCGTTTTGCGTCGGAGGGCGCACTTGAGGCTCCAATGCGTCCTCGTACTCGCAGGAGGCCGTCGTCGATTACGGGGTCCAGCTTGTACAGACGACTCGTTCTAGGGATTGGGCGAACTGCTTTGATCCTCTTCAGCTCGTCTCCAAAGTCGTCCTCCTGTGCTCGTTGCATGAGAGCTCGTTCGGCGCGTTCTATGTGCTGTAGCTCCATGCGGGTCGCTCGCTTCCGGCAGATGTCTGTGAAAGCCAGTACGTTCGCGGTTGCTCTTACTAGCGTCTCGAATCTCGAGAAGCGGGTCGGGTCAGGCATCCAGTCGAAGTGGCTCTCGTCCTGCTGGCTCAGGTGCAGGACTTCCTCTGCATCTTCATGAGGTTCCTGTTCTGTGGGCCACCGGTCCTCTGGTTCGTGTAGGAATCCGGGTCCTTGGAACCATCGGTCTTCCATGCGTACTGGAGTCTGGCTTTGTCTTGTGGCATCGTCGGCTGGGTTGTCAGCGGTCGGCAGCCAACGCCACTCGTCTTTGTGCGTGAGTTCGGCGATCTCCCCTAGCCGATGTGCAGCGAATGGAGTGTATCGTCGCGCGTCGTTACGCACCCAGTGGACTACGGTTGATGAGTCCGTCCAATAGATGGTCTTCTTTATCTCGATGCGGTGTTCGCGCCTGATAGTGTCGGCGAGTCTTGCTCCGATGAGTGCAGCCTGTAGTTCAAGGCGCGGGATGCTTTGTGTACGCCGTGGTGCCACCTTAGCCTTTGCTCCAACTAGGGTCACTTTCGCGCTACCGTCTTGGTGTACAACCCTCCAGTAGGCCACAGCAGCGTACGCTTGTTCGCTCGCGTCGCAGAACACATGTAGTTCAGTGTGCTCATGGTTCTCCAGGGCGTAGTTCCGGTGCAGGTGCAGGCGTGCGATTTCGTTCAGTTGTCGCAGCCAGGATGCGAAGAGTTCGGCTTCTTCCGCAGGGATCGGCTCGTCCCATGGTATTTCTAGTCGCCATAGGTTTTGAAGCACGATCTTTGCTCTGATCGTGTAATGGCTTAGCAGTCCCAGCGGGTTATAGATCGACATGACCGCACTGAGTGTTTCTCTCTTGGTGGGTGCGCGGCTCTGGTTGCGCACCTCGGCTGGGACCCGGTTCACGGCTGTGTCGAAACCGAGTTCATCTGTTTGCGGGTTCCAGTAGAGTCCCAGGATCTTGTTTTCCATACTCTCGATCGTCCCGAGCGCGGTGGGCGTAGTTGCTCTGAGTTCTGTCGGGACGTCGCGCAGCACGTTCGGATGGCTTGAGCTCCAGCGCCTTAGCGTGAAACTGGCCGCTGCGTGTACTTCACGTAGCTCTTGTATGGTGGCGCGAGCTTCGTGTTCACTGTCGTAGCTGTCCACCAGGTCGTCCATGTAGTGGCTTTGAGTAATTGCCACTAATGCTCGCGGATGGGTCTCTGCGTGCATGATCGCATTGTGGTTGCGGACTGTGTGAGCCATGAATGGGGAGCTGGCTGCGCCGAATATCATGCTCCTCATTTTGAAGCATCGTGGTGGGTCAGTTCTGTTCTCCCCTCTCCACAGGAACTGCTGTGCCGGTTGATCGTCCGGTCGGATCTTCACCTGCAGAAACATCTCTTGGATATCGGCGGTGACGGCGATCGGCTTTTCACGGAATCGGAAGAGGATGCCCTGCAGTGATAGCAGTAGGTCCGGGCCTTCCAGCAGCTGGTCGTTCAGGCTCACGCCTCGGTTCTTGTGCGCCGCGTCGAACACAAGTCGCTGCTTACCGGGCTTGTTCGGGTTCTGTACGGCAAAGTGTGGTAGATACCAACTAACAGCGCTGTTTTGTTCAGTGCCGTCGCATGGCACCGCGTAGCCTTTGTTGAATAGGTTCTCCACTTGGGCGGTGTACTGTTCGGCGAAGGCAGGATCGGCGTCCATTTTACGTTCTATGGCGCGTAGTCGTCGTAGCGCTGCCTCGTAGCTCGGAGGCATCGTAGTTCCGTCGGTTTTCCACGGCAAACCAACCTCGTAGCCGCCATCGACTTTCTTCATAGTTCTTCTCACCATTTCGATTGCTCGTTGGTCCGCAGCACTCACGCGCGGTCTGTGCGCGATGCCGAGAGCGTCGATGCGGAAGTGTGCCTCGATCAGTTCGTGTAGGCGGTCGTCGTGCTGCTGGTTCTCGTGTAGCGGATGATCAGGAGTCCACACGTGCAGCACATTGTTGCGTTGATGGACGGCGTTCCTTGGTACGGTTCCGTGTACCACCCAGCCCAACTGTGTTCGGGATGCAGCTGGTTGGTTGCGTCCACCAACTCGTAGTTCGCGACTCACTATCAGCTCCCAATTGTCGCTGCCGATCAGGAGGAGCGGGCGTGCCAGATCGTAGCACACGTTTTCCCGTATGTCCCGTAGATGCTTCGCCTCCAGCAGCGAGCTCGGTATGGACTGCTGGTGCAACTTCAGATCACGCACCGTGCGGGCTCGGATGTTCATCGGCTTGTCCTGCGTTGTTCCTTTCAGCTGTAAGCTGACGGTTCGGCTCTGATGTTCTTGTGTCATATTCACTCCATGTAGGCGCAACGGTGTTGAGGGTCCTTCCGCTCCGATGCGCTGTGCCAGTTCTTCGTCGATGAGGGTTATTGTGGCGCCCTCGTCCATCAGTGCGTATATCTCCACACTTCCCAGTGGTCCCGTTACAGTGACTGGAACCACTTTGAGCAGCACTTCCTTCTCTTTCGGTGGTAGCGTGCCCAGTGATAGCACGGTCTCGTGGTGCTTCGGCGCGTTCGGTGGGGTCACTTCAGGCGGCGTTGTGAGCGGTGCTGCAGGCTGCGCAATGGGCTGACTCAGTTCCTCGTGCAGAGTAGGGTGGTGCGGGCGGCGACATTGGTTCACGCCGCACAGCTTTGCCTTACAAAATTGGCGACGGTGTCGTTTTTCAACGCATCGGAAGCACACTCCTTTTTCTCGCACCATGTTCCAGCGCTGTTCAACACTGAGTGCTTTGTAGGACGGGCACCGGTGTAGCGCGTGGGGTTGGCCGCAGTTCGGGCAGCGGTCCGTTTGTTCGTTCTCAGTGGCAGTGTACACGGCGTTCACCTTCCTTTTCACTATCGCGGGTCTTACTTCTCTCCTCGTTGTTGCGGCAGTACTCGCGGCGGGCGAGTACATATAGCGCAGCGCTCTGTCGGCCTCGCGCATAAGGAAACGTGATAACACGACGATCTCTGGGTCTGCTGTTCCTTCGTGGTCTGCGGCGTAGTCGCACCAGCGGGACTGGATGTGCGGGCTCAACTTGTCAAGCACTTCTCGAGCCAGCAGTGGGTTGTACAGAAATCCACGCTTGTCTATGGTTTTCAGCACGTAGACAACGTTCTGAAGCTTCACGGCGAACGTGTTCAGTTCCGTGGCTGACGCACCCGGTTTCTGCATTCTCCGTAGTTCATCGAGTGCCCGGTCGATGATCACCTCGGGCTTCCCGAAACACTGCTCCAGCGTCCTCATAATGATCGCCGGGTCCGTAGCCGCGTGTAGTAAAGCAGCCACAGCGTCGCGGGCCTCACCCTTCAGGCAGGCTCTCAGTCGTTGCAGGTTCTCCGCGGCCGACAATCCGTACAGTTCCGTTGCGTCTCGTACAGCGGCTTTAAATGGCAGCCACTCGCTCGGTGCACCGGAGAAGACAGGTAGCTCGCCTGCGTGCCGGGGCCGCGGCCTTGCCATCTTCTCTATCGCTTCGGCCAGCTGTTCTATTCCTCTACGCGTACGGGCCGGCGTAGGCGATCTTGTTCGTTCTCTTCTTACGGGAGATGGTCTTCTCACAGGCGAAGGGCTTCTCACAGGCGAAGGTGAGCCGTGGAAACGAGTTCGTCTCGTCCGTTCGTTGGGCTCCGTGGTGGTAAGCGTTTCGCCGCGCTCCCCCCGTACGTGCGCCGGGTTGTTGCGGAACCAGTTGTCCACTCTTCGTTCAGCGGCGGCGAGCGGCTCGTCGCGTAAGCTCTCTGCCTCGTCTTGGATAGATGCCACTTGCACGGCTAACCTTTTCTTAATTAGTTCGGCTTCCAGGCGTAGCTCGGTTCGTCGAATTTCCGCTAGCCTCTCCTCCGCTTCAAGTTCTGCCAGTTGTAGTCGCGCCGCCACACTCGCTGTCGATCGATGCGAGTATGCGGGGGACCTCGGTCGTGATGACTGGGCTGCGGGGTTCATAGCAGTTGACGGTCCAGCGGTGGGTTCGTAGAGCTCCCTTGTCTGACGATCGCAGGCCTCCCCCCGTAGGGATGGGCCTCCACGTTCGGTTGGCGCCACGGTGGGCGACGCCGGCGGATCCAATGCCATTCTCCGCAAACGTTCGTGCTCCACTCGAATTTCTTCAGTGATCTTATCCTGGTCTGCAGCGTCACCCTGGCTCCTGGTGACTACCATTGTTCGGTTCAAATGGCAGTGGGCTGCGAGGATACGAAGTTCCGAGCGGTCTTCACTGTTCCGGGCTTGGTACTTGCTCGAATCCGGCTTCAAAGGATCAGAGATTGTTGATGTTCTAGCTCTTGTTCGGTGGACTGTATTGTTCAGGTTCTTGATCTGGATCGCAAATGAAAACTCTTGATTAAAGTGGATTCAATCCGTGTTTATTACCAAAAATGTTCCTACTTAAATACCAATTTCACTCTCTTATCTAGT